AAAAAACACACAGCCACTGTCAGCTCTCTGATTTTCAGTGAGTCATTGTTTGAAGGGAAATAGATTTGTGCTCCGATCGACGGTGAGTATGTCAAGTTCGTCGGAGATTTTGAATTCTGGCAAATTAACAATCCGTCGGATCACACCGAGATAGCGTCATTCAAATTCTCCAAAACCTCATCGGAATCATGAACTCATGCAAATCGACGAACCCATCGCCATTGCCATCGACCTCTTCGATCATCTCCCGAAACTCTCCGTCTTTGAGAACGAAGAGGAGAGAGAAAATAGCTCAACTTAGTTTTTTGAATTTAAATTTTGAAAAAAAAAATATATTGGTATATCTTTATTGACAGGGAATTAAGGGGCAACAATTCTCGAGTTAAGAAATTTATTTAACACTGTTTTCAAGAAAAGGTATTTTGAATTTATTAAAAAATTATAGACTTAACTACTTACTAAAAGATTAAAATATAATTTATTTCCAATACAAATATTTTGTCACGTACTCTAGTCTTGTTTTGCATATAAATTTAGTTGAGGATAAATTATGTTGACGGGACGGACCAAAGATATATGAACAGACTCTCAGATATGTATGATTATTTTGTTTCTTCATTCTTGATAGTGCTCTACGATTTGATTTGGTCATTTTTTATGCTTATGCCAAACCAATTAGTAACTCTTTGGACGCGTATACACTAGCCTAGAAGAGAAAATTAAAGAATAACAAAAGAAAAAGATTCATGACTATTAAATGGTAATTCATTGCTATAGCTATAGCAAACCTTGTAAATATGCTTATTTTATTATTCATATGAAATTTCTCTTTCCTTCTATTAGTAAGTAAATTAATATCTAGTTATTGAAAAATTTCTGGGAATCCACAGGTAGTCCTGCAACAAGACATTAGGAAAGTATATACCCAAAAAAAACATGCACTAATACAAAAAGTGCAATGCAAATACAACTTAACTAGGAGAGTGAAAAATAAACCAAACATACTCATAAAATTCTACATCATATTGCCAATCTATGTTCTTATTTTTTATATTTTGTTTTCAAAAGTATTCAACTTATTGTGTTTCTACATGCTAACGTATAATATAAAGTTAAAGAATTAGAAAGGGAAAAAGATGCACAAACACAAAGAAAGGCGCCTTTCTGTAAGGGGTAGAACCCTCTACTAAGGATTTTGGTTTGACCTGGGTTAACCCACGCGGGCGACCCCCCAGTAGCCTTTACTTCTCTTCGCCAATAGGACCCTTTCCTAAGGCAATCCCACATCGGAAGAGAGTCGTCTTCCCCCTCGCATATAAGCCCTTACACTCAAAGGAGGAGGTACCCACTAGGCACCTGATCAGGTCGCTAGTGGGTATCTCCTCCTTTGAGTGCAAGGGCTTATATGCGAGGGGGGAAGACGACTCTCTTCCGATGTGGGATTGCCTTAGGAAAGGGTCCTATTGGCGAAGAGAGGTAAAGGCTACTGGGGGGTCGCCCGCGTGGGTTAACCCAGGTCAAGCCGAAATCCTGAGTGGAGGGTTCTACCCCTTACAAAAAGGCGCCTTTTTGTAAGGGGTAGAACCCTCCACTCAGGATTTCGGCTTGACCTGGGTTAACCCACGCGGGCGACCCCCCAGTAGCCTTTACCTCTCTTCGCCAATAGGACCCTTTCCTAAGGCAATCCCACATCGGAAGAGAGTCGTCTTCCCCCCTCGCATATAAGCCCTTGCACTCAAAGGAGGAGGTACCCACTAGGCACCTGATCAGGTCGCTAGTGGGTACCTCCTCCTTTGAGTGCAAGGGCTTATATGCGAGGGGGGAAGACGACTCTCTTCCGATGTGGGATTGCCTTAGGAAAGAGTCCTATTGGCGAAGAGAGGTAAAAACTACTGGGGGGTCGCCCGCGTGGGTTAACCCAGATCAAGCCAAAATCCTTAGTAGAGGGTTCTACCCCTTACACCAAGGCTATTACAAACTAGCCTAGATATAGAAAATTGAATAGTGTAATAGGAAAAACATGCTCACTCATAGAAAAAGGTAATGAAAACCTTATAATATGAAGGACTGAGACTTGTTTAATATGAAGGACTGAGACTTTGTCAAGTGCTAGAGTTATTTTTTATATATAAATTTATTTTACTTCCATTTGAGCTTACATGATTTTTTGTTTGGCTTTAATTCTCAGTACACCCTGGTTGAATATTGTTTTGTCTCATGTGATCATATATCATTCTAATGTTTGATTTACAAGGTTATTTCAGGATTTAAATTTTGTGATTACCAGTGAAAAAAATTACTGGTTTCAAAATAGATGATATTAGCATGTTGGTTAGGGGTCAAGGAGAATTACTCAATTAGTCGTTGAATCAGCCATCCAAAAAATTTCTCTTTGTATCTTTCTTCAAGAAGTTCCTATCACTCTCCAAACAAAACAAAAAAAAATTTTTTTTACTTGTAGTCAAGCTAGCATATTTGTTAGAATTTTATTTAACTATACTTTCGATTTTCTTGGTTGCAGATGAATTCAATAAGAGAGGGTTTGATTTGACTTTTGAGGTACTTCTTGTTCAAGTGCTAGCATTTGGTGTATTGTTGAGTGAGATTCTTGAAACTTATAGTTCTATTAGATACTAAGTGATGTCTTCATGTTCAAACATACGTGCTATTATGTGTATTGGTGAATTATTGGTTATGATTCTAGCTTAGAAAAATAAAATTTTATTTGTGTTCCGATTTTTTTTGGTTAACAATGAAAGTATTGTGTAATTGGTGCTTAGATGATATGATTAGACGGGGAGGTAATGTGACATAAGCCAAAAAGTACTAATAAATGTGTGTTCATATTTTAGTCAAATAAATGTTCAATGACCATAGTAAAATTTTTACTTATGTTGTTTGATTCAAAAATATCACTCTTTTGCCCGTATATTTGATCGATTAGTAAGTAAAAACTAACAAACTCATGTGATTCTAATCTCAATTTTAGAGTGAATTGTTCCAGAAAAAGAAGTCATTGGATACAACAATATATGATACCAATGAGTAAGAATGCAATGTAGTGNACTCAGGTGATTCTAATCTCAATTTTAGAGTGAATTGTTCCAGAACAAGAAGTCATTGGATACAACAATATATGATACCAATGAGTAAGAATGCAATGTAGTGAGAATTGTTATCGAACTCGATTATTTTATTTTATTTTTTGCATTTGATTAAGAACTTGACCTATATACAACTTTATTCATTCAAATATAATGTATTTTTTAACAAATGAAATGTCATGTATGTCCAAGCAACGAATTTGAATGAAAGATATTATTGATTCAATTGTGTCATGGAAAAGATGTTAATGCTGTCATATTTATATCAATATCTGAATTAGTAAATCATACTAGCTATAATTAAATATGATCCATGTATAATACACGTGTAAATTGACTAGTATAAATATGGTATTAGTGGTAGATAAAGTTTGGATATGTTGGTTTGTAGGGTTTAGGTGATTGTTGTTGTTCTACATTAGAGGAGTTGGGAGTTTTGGAAGAAGGAGTTGTTTGGTAGTGAGGGAAATGGTGGTCTACTAGAGGGAGCGATGGAGAGAAAGGAAGAGGTAAAATATTTATTCGGGTTGGATCGAGCTAGGGTGTGTTAGATTCGAGTATGGTACATTTAGTTTGGGTTAAGGTTGAATTTATTTTCTTTACACGAGGGTTCAACAGCCATTTTGCAACTTCTGCTGGGGCCTATAGGTGACTATTTTTGATAAGGGGGTGTTAGTGTAATATGTTATATCCAAAGGGATTTTATGATTAAGTGATAAATTTTAACGGAGTTGGATGTAATTTATCTTTCAATTTGTGATAAAAAGTTGAATGCTGATCCGGTACTATCAATTCGTAACATTAAGGGTACAGACTAAAATTTATGTTTAAAGGTATAAATTAAAAATTGAAACATCTTTTGACGTGTGCAAAATGAGATTAACCCTTATAAAAATTGGTCTCGGAGTTTGCAAATCTCTTTATATTTCTCAGATATTTTTTGAAAAAATGACTCTAAAATCATTATTTGTTGCTTCANGTGTGCAAAATGAGATTAACCCTTATAAAAATTGGTCTCGGAGTTTGCAAATCTCTATATATTTCTCAGATATTTTTTGAAAAAATGACTCTAAAATCATTATTTGTTGCTTCAATAAAATTAAAACCAATTGATTCCATCAAACAAGCTGTATGCTATTTATAAGTTAACTATTATTTCTCCAAAAGTTGGTAAGATGATATCTAGGGCAATTAAATTCATAATTGGATTTCTCTATTATACTTATACTCAAATTTTATTCAATGATAGATTATCGACTATGAGGGAAAAACTTAGTTATATAATGTATCTTTTCATAGTGAGTGTTCTACCATAAAAAAAATATAAAAATATATATATTAAAAGAGAGTTGATCCCAAAATTCTCATCAAGGCAACTTTATTTTCTTCCCTTTTTTTTCCATTTTGTTTTCATTTCCATGTGTTGGAAATAAGTAATTTGAATTAGGATAAATCTCATAAAATGCTTCATGAGCTATGACTTTTATTTTATTGTCCCATGAACTGTCAATTACTCTAATATATCTCTTAAACTATATAATTTATTTTAATCAATTCATTTCATTGAGATTAATTATTAAATAAGATAAATTGACAATTAATCTTAATGGAATCTATCTAATTTAATGATTAATTTTAATGAACTATGTCTCCATTATCGTTTAGTCTTGATAGAAGGGGTTGATTGAAATAAATCACATAGTTTAGGAGGAAAATTGGAATAATTAAAACTTCAGTAGGCAATTTACAATAAAAGTAATAGTTTAGGGGGCATTTACGAGATTTACCCTAGGAATTAAAGACGAAGAGTGTGAAACACAACGTGCTCGAGTGGTCTATATTCCATTTCCGTCTCCTTGCTGTTTTAAATTCCCGCCAGTCGCCAGTGTCTTCGTCACAGCACTCTCACAAGTCTCCACTGGTTACAGCACTCTCACAAGTCTCCACTGGTTAGACTCGGATATTCGTTTCCTTTCTATTTCTGAGAAACGATTGTATTTCCGTTTCAAATTGTACTTTTATACATATATTTTGTTTGTTTGCTGAGAAATCTCGAGCAAATAAGAATATTTTTGAAAAATTTTCAGAAATTGGAGTTTGAGTGGCGTCGCAGGTTTGCTAGCTTAATTTTCCCCTTTTTTATTTTTATTTTTTAGATTTATGTCCAGAAAAACAGAGTCATTTGAAGTTGGGGTCAGAGTGGCGTCGCAGGTTTGCTAACTTAATTTCCCCCTTTTTTGTTTTTATTTTATAGATTTCTGTCCAGAAAAACAAGAGTCATTTGTCTTATTTAACTAATCTATTTCGCTTATACGTTGCTAGTACTAATTTTAGGTTGATATAGTTTTTTCTAGGGTTTTTGATGGATATAATTTTTCTTTGGTTTTTGATTTTTCTTTTTTATGTTATGTTATTGTGGTGTGAATCCATCTTCCGATTATGGGTTATAGAAGCTAGTCTTTTTTTTTTTTTTTTATGATTATATAGAAGCTAGTCTACTCTGAGCATGGAGACTGAAATATTGTATCTGAGTTGAATGTGGGTCTTGTGTGGTGTCCATAGTTTTTCTAACCATGTTTAATTACTATCTTGTTTGTAGGCTTAAGGAAGTGAAACTCTGTCTTCATGGATGATTTACCAAGGTACAATTTGTCTCCCCATGGTATTATATGGATTACACTTGTGTGCAAAATTAAGTGTTTGAGCTATACTATATTTAACAATTGCTGAAAACAAGTATCTGTCTTGGGATTATAGATCACATCAGCTCGTTTCATTCACGTATCAGCTAGGTGTGCATTGTATTAGCTGTGCATTTCCTGGGTGTTTTCCCATGTTTTATTGCATCAAACTATTTTTTTATTACACAAACATTGTTAGAATCAACTTAAATCCTCATCGACTCATGTTTCGCTTTTCAGCTTACTTACCTACCAATGAATGTAAGATAATGTGGCAATACAATATCTGTGTTTTTTTTCTTATCAACAATGTGCAAGCTTTTTTGGGCCAGTTTCCTGTAGGGATTTTCAGGAAGTACTATAGTTTTTCATATGTTGCTCCAGAAGCATTCCTTATTGTAGGCCCTTTCAGGGAGGATGTCAGTAATACACTTCGAATACTAGTTGCAACGGATTGTCACCTGGGCTATATGGAGAAGGATGAAATCCGCCGGCATGATTCATTTCAGGCATTTGAAGAGATCTGCTCAATAGCAGAACAAAAGCAGGTGAGTTTTTGTTCTTTTCAATATTTCTTGCTGTATCAATAGTATCTTTGTTATGCATTGCCAGTATGTACTATGTACTGGCAATTTTACGTTTCATGTCACCAGTTGGTCTGCCTGTGATGCTTCATTCATCTTTAATGCCCACTGTTTCTGATTTCTTTGAATAGCTCTTAGCTGTACTCCCTGAAAGGACCTTTTTGTACTGATTCTCGGTTGTTTCCTCTATTTCTGCTACTGGCTTGATCACTTAACTGCTTTGCTTCATCATAATCACTGCACTTGAAAATATGCTGCTCACTCATTATATCTCTTCTGGTTTCTAAAGGATATAGGTTCTCAGGTCTGCTTATTTTGATTTTTGCGTGATGATGAGTTCTTTACTTGTGAGTGAGTGGGAGATCTGAAGTAGATAGCCCGAGGTCAAGGATATGAATTCTGTTCTATTCTTAAACATAGTTGTCAAATCGTGTATCGGAAGACGTATCATTTTTTTAAAAATAGTGTATCGTAAGATATGCTAATTTTAATTTTTAAATAGTTATTAATAAAATATATGTATATACTTTGTAAAAAAGTTATAAACTCATAATAACATATCATTTCATTAATATTTCACCAACTGTTCAAGTTCCCAACATAGTTCAATAATATCAAAATGCAAAGACCTCTAATTCAAACTCTTAACATCAACTGCATGAATAACCTTAATATTAATCATAAATTTTGAATTCAATTGAACAACATTAACAACAGGCTTTATTTATTTATTTTAAACCATAATCACTGAAACGACGTTGTTTCACTAGTTAGTGATTTAAAAATAAGTCCTGGGTAAAACGATGTCATTTCAACCCAAAAAAAAAAAAAAAAAAATAATCGTCACGTATCAGGCGTATTGTATCGTGTATTGTACGATATGGTGCAAAACGATATAGAGACACGATACGTATCATTTTTCAGGTGTATCGTACGATATGTATGCGATACCAATAACTAATCTTAAACACTAATGAAGTTTTTATGTGCATATAACTTTCTGAATAATGATCAAAGTAAAAAACTTTCTAATCTTTGCATATATTGCAATACGTATCAAAATTATTTTACTCTGACTTCATTCTTGCATCAGGTGGATCTCTTACTTCTTGGTGGTGATCTTTTTCATGAGAATAAGCCCTCGAGATCAACATTAGTGAAGGCCATTGAGATTCTTCGTCGTTATTGTCTCAATGATCAACCAGTGCAGTTCCAAGTTGTGAGCGACCAGACTGTGAACTTTGCAAACACGTAATTATCTATTTTTGCTCTCAGTGTACTCTAGCCTTTATGTTATTGCTATTGTTTTGTCATTTTGCTTGGTTGAAATTAACACTCAACCTGCTGAAAAAGGAATTGGATATACAACACGGCTAACACCACAACTGCAGCGAGGACTAATTTTAACCGAAGTGAATTTCCAGAGTTCTAACTTTGACACTGTTGTATGCAGTGAACACATTCCATTTTGTCTTTTTGTTGGTAGTGTATTCAAAATCTTGAGGAAATTAGGAATCATTTAAATATATTTTACATTTCATTTTAGTCATAACTGAATCCTATACCATTAGGATTGTTATTGCTTTAATCATAAAATCTGTGAGCTCTCCCCCCCCCCCCCCCCAAAAAAAAAAAAAAAATCTTCTTCATTATCCTGCTTGTGACATTGATTTTTTTTCATATTTACAGATATTTTGGTAGTAGTTATCAAGAACCCTTACAGAAGTCAGCGTTCAGTTTGTAACAGAATGTTATTTTGAACAGATTTGGTCATGTAAATTACGAAGATCCTCACTTCAATGTTGGCTTGCCAGTTTTCAGTATTCATGGAAATCATGATGATCCCGCTGGAGTGGTATGGATCCTATGGTAAAATGATCTATATATTTCTCTTTATATTTCTTGGCCACACAATTTCTTGAACCAGTGATGCTTCCTTTGCATTGTCATATGATATAATGGCATCCTAATTAAATTTCTGACCAACAACATAATATGCCATCCCTTGCACATAAGTTTAAACAATAGGTTATACTGAACTTGGATTCTTTCTATTTCCATGCATGGGCATCATGGGTATAGTAATTACACAGACTGATGTGTAATCTCTTGCTCAGAAATTTACACTACTTGATGTATTGTAACTGTATCAGTCATAATGAAAGCATGCCGGCTGCTGATGCTTGTGTTTCAGTTCAATGTAGGTTTAAGTTTCGATATCTATGATGGGAACAGATATCCATCTTCGTGTTAGAATTGTAGTATATAATAATGTGTCTGTTTGTCACTAGGTTTGGAGACATTCAGTACCACATTGACTACCATGATAAATGTGGGTTTCTTGTATGAGTGATGGGTGCTCTTTGAGATTTTTATGGCTGCTTGTCTTTCTTCTTTGCTGTCTGGACTAAGGTGGGAGGAATACTCGGGTGTTCTTTTAATCACAAGCTGCAGTTCTGTAGCTAAGAGCTGGTCTATGGCTAATCTTGAACTGGTCCAGTAAATTTTTGGGACTTTATTATGTTTCCAATTACTAGTTTGAAACCTCAGGCATGATTCTTTTGCTGAAATTTTTAGTCGATGCCAAAATGGCATAGCTCTTCTTTTTCTTAATGTTGTGATGTGTGCACCAGGAAATATAATGCAAAGACTTTATGTTGTAAGCTACTGGAGTGTTTTTTTTTTCTGTGCTTTAGGATACATTATAAATTGCTTGATTATATATATTCATTTAGACTTTGCTTTTAGACTGTTGTTGTATAATGTGGTGACAGGACAATCTTTCTGCGGTTGATATCCTTTCAGCATGCAATCTTGTGAACTATTTCGGGAAAGTGGTTCTTGGAGGTTCCGGCGTTGGGCAGATCACTCTCTATCCCATTCTGATCAGGAAGGTTTGTTGTTAGATTTCAGGAATAGGGTTGTTCAGAAAATAAGAATAGTTATTTCTGTGGAGGATGCCTTCTAACTTCATACATCTTAGGGTTCGACGTCCGTAGCGTTGTATGGCCTTGGAAACATTAGAGATGAAAGACTGAATAGAATGTTCCAGGTATTTGTCTGGACATGTCTGTTTTGAGGCTATTTATTACTGGCTTTTATAACACATGAGTGTTAATTATGCTTATTTTTGGTACCTTAGACGCCACATGCTGTACAGTGGATGCGACCTGAAGCAAAAGAAGGCTATCAATTGTCAGACTGGTTCAACATCCTAGTACTTCATCAAAACAGGTATTGTCATCTGTGAGATGGTATTATATATTGCATGAACTTCCTATGCTAGACCCTTTTATTTCAGGTGTTTTGATGCGCTGATAAAATCTTGCTGTTTTTGCAGAGTAAAGATGAATCCTAAAAATGCAATCAATGAGCATTTTCTGCCAAGATTCTTGGACTTCATAGTTTGGGGCCATGAACACGAATGTCTCGTGGACCCTCAGGTGCTACTGATGCGGAGGTCTCATTGCTTATTCATTTATTTTCTGTTTTTGTATCTCATGGAAGGTGCATCTTGATCTTAACAGGAAGTTCCAGGTATGGGTTTCCACATTACTCAACCGGGTTCTTCTGTTGCAACATCACTAATTGATGGAGAATCAAAGCCGAAACATGTACTTCTTATAGAGATTAAGGTTGTTTTTTGGATTTTCCTGAATGTATTGTTCTGTATATTTACTTACTTTCCTTTTTTTTCTTTTTCATCAAGTGTTTGCTCTCTCTTTTAATTATCTCCCTCTCTATCTATTTAATTACCTGTGTGTGTTAGTTATTGATTGAATTCTATGTAGGGAAATCAATATCGCCCAACCAAGATACCCCTCAACTCAGTGAGGCCTTTTGAATATACTGAGGTACGATAATTTTTTGTATCTTCATTTTAAAAGAGATTTGTTGAGCTACTCCATGTTCATGATGCAGATAGTATTGAAAGATGAACCTGACATTGATCCCAATGATCAGAATTCAATTCTTGAACATTTGGACAAAGTGGTGAGCTAATTTTTCTTTTCCACACATTGGAAAAGATCTGTCAGAGGTTATCTATCTGGTACATGCTGGTGGCATTGTGCTATTCTTTGCAGTAACTGATTGTAATAAATTTGAATTTGTTTCAGGTCAGAAATCTAATAGACAAGTGTAGCCAAAAGGCTGTTAACAGATTGGAGCTCAAGCTTCCTTTAGTCCGAGTGAAGGTGATCTTCCTGAATCCCTATGCTTTTGAAATGATACTACCATGAAAGTTTTTGCACTTGGGTTCTGCGTTTCTTCCATTAGTTTCTTTCCCAGCCTGCATTTGCATTTCCCAGCTGGCATTTTGTTTGATTTGACAGGTAGATTACTCTGGATTTATGACAATAAATCCTCAAAGATTTGGGCAAAAGTATGTGGGGAAGGTACATTCTATCTTTGACTAAAAGCACTGAATATAAGACAATGGTCCCCAAAACACCAAAAAAAAAAAAAAAAANAAGATTCTTGGACTTCATAGTTTGGGGCCATGAACACGAATGTCTCGTGGACCCTCAGGTGCTACTGATGCGGAGGTCTCATTGCTTATTCATTTATTTTCTGTTTTTGTATCTCATGGAAGGTGCATCTTGATCTTAACAGGAAGTTCCAGGTATGGGTTTCCACATTACTCAACCGGGTTCTTCTGTTGCAACATCACTAATTGATGGAGAATCAAAGCCGAAACATGTACTTCTTATAGAGATTAAGGTTGTTTTTTGGATTTTCCTGAATGTATTGTTCTGTATATTTACTTACTTTCCTTTTTTTTCTTTTTCATCAAGTGTTTGCTCTCTCTTTTAATTATCTCCCTCTCTATCTATTTAATTACCTGTGTGTGTTAGTTATTGATTGAATTCTATGTAGGGAAATCAATATCGCCCAACCAAGATACCCCTCAACTCAGTGAGGCCTTTTGAATATACTGAGGTACGATAATTTTTTGTATCTTCATTTTAAAAGAGATTTGTTGAGCTACTCCATGTTCATGATGCAGATAGTATTGAAAGATGAACCTGACATTGATCCCAATGATCAGAATTCAATTCTTGAACATTTGGACAAAGTGGTGAGCTAATTTTTCTTTTCCACACATTGGAAAAGATCTGTCAGAGGTTATCTATCTGGTACATGCTGGTGGCATTGTGCTATTCTTTGCAGTAACTGATTGTAATAAATTTGAATTTGTTTCAGGTCAGAAATCTAATAGACAAGTGTAGCCAAAAGGCTGTTAACAGATTGGAGCTCAAGCTTCCTTTAGTCCGAGTGAAGGTGATCTTCCTGAATCCCTATGCTTTTGAAATGATACTACCATGAAAGTTTTTGCACTTGGGTTCTGCGTTTCTTCCATTAGTTTCTTTCCCAGCCTGCATTTGCATTTCCCAGCTGGCATTTTGTTTGATTTGACAGGTAGATTACTCTGGATTTATGACAATAAATCCTCAAAGATTTGGGCAAAAGTATGTGGGGAAGGTACATTCTATCTTTGACTAAAAGCACTGAATATAAGACAATGGTCCCCAAAACACCAAAAAAAAAAAAAAAAAACTCTTCTATCTACAGGTATGCGACTCATCTCTAGATTTTTAGGTTGCAAATCCCCAGGATATTCTTATATTCTCAAAAGCTTCAAGGAAAGGTCGCAGTGAAGGTAATATTAATTTTGCCCTAATTAGGCGATTGATTTGCATAGGATACAATATTATGTTGATCATATTTATTGTCAATCTCCAAAAAAACTTCGCATGTAAAGTTGTTATCTCTGCATAATTTGGTGAGGTCATTTCTACATTATGTATTGTATATTGGTATAGGTTTTGTTGTTCATGTTGCTTGTGTGAGGTTTCAGCATCTAGTTTGGCTTCAGGATTGATATTGAACTCGGGGTTAAAAACCTGTAGAACTTGACACTTTAGGGAACAAAACTGAACCAACTGATAGCATCATCTATCAGCTCCTCAGGGGGATTGATGTCACCAAAGCAGTGTGGATGGTGAGAATTGTTCAAATGTGCAGCTTTTAATATCAGATGCAGTTTAAGTTAACTTGCCAGTATTATAAATGCTACTCAGGGTCCGCCTAATTAACAGTGGAGAACTGCTCAAACTTGGTGTCTTCTTCTTAGTAATCAACTCATAGTTTGTGCTTTGGTAGCAACTCCCCTTGCTTTTTGGTGATCCATCCCATCTTGGTTGGTAAAGCTAGCAATTAGATATCAGAATATGTACCTCTTTCTTCCTCATCCAGAAATATTATAGCTTGGATATGGATGCATTTACTTGGGTGACACTTGAACCCATGCCTCCCACAAGGGTGGTGGGACACCAACCACTCGGGGCTGTCAGTTGGCCCCAGCCGATCAAGAATTCATGGACAAGAGGAAAACAAAAAAAAAAGAACAATATGAGAAAGAAGAGTAAAAGTTCCAGACTCAATGAAGTTTTAACAAATTAAGCAATTGTGGTATCCCATTTGCGCAGGTCAGTCCATTTGTCAAACTGGGCTGACCTGCACTCCAGTTTTTAAGAAACATAATTATGATATCTTCCTTGGCTCTTAACCTTCTTAGACCCCAATGCGTTTGTTTCCATTGTAAGCACTCGAGCCTTAACCTGAAATAGAAGCTAAAACCCTTGATTAAGTTTTATAAACATCAGGTGCAGTTTAAGTCGAATTTCTTTTGATGAAAGTTGTACATTGCAATCAGCGTGGATCATGCAAACCCTAGTTGTTAGGATTATTGTTCAATGATTGCTTTGGCTTGTGGTAGAGTATGCTATCACTACCCAAAATTGCAATTTCAATACCTTTGGAAGGTCATTGGAAACAGAAATTGAGGTCATTAATCAAGATTCGCTCAGTCTATAAGTTTATATATATGTTTTCAGTCATCTTATCTAAATCTTGGATTGCAATATTTTTAAAAACTTGTTATTTGACACAAGCACATTTCTAATAGACTTGAGAAACATCATTCTCCAGGCCCCAATCCCTCTTCCTCACTGTCCTTCATGCTTACGATTTTTTGTGATGAACACACTCAAGGGGGCACCTATAATTTTGAACATACTTTACCCAACATATTGCATTTGGTAGAGCCCAAGAAGACCAACAAGCCCAAGTTCAAGAACCACCTCCAAAAGGCCCTAAAGTTCACACTTATGATGGTGTCTGATTTCACTGCTCAACCGATGACAAAATGTCTATGTTTGGTTTGCAGTTAAAATTGACGATTCTGAGCGGCTTCGACCAGAAGAACTTAATCAGCAAAATATTGAGGCTTTAGTTGCTGAGAATAATCTGGTGTGCAATTATTTCATCCTTGTTTCACCCTTTCTTATTTTATTTATAAGATCAAATAATTAGTAATTTCTCATTGTAGAGGAACTCTGGACTCTGTTACATTACTGTAAACAATTTATTTAGGTTTTTCGAGCCTTTAGTTTTTTACGAGAGAAATTTGAAGAAGAGCTTGTTGCAACCAATGAACGTGAGAAATAATCACTATTTTCATAGGGTGAGATCTTTTAGAAGTACATTGGAGTTTCTAATGCATTTTTATCATTTATTTTAGTTTGGTTGTTGGATCTGACAGTAGAGGAAAGTTCACAATTTTACATATGTGTGTGTTTGTGTGCAGGGTGGGATGTTTTTATGACGTAATATGCTCGAGTTCTTTGTTTTTCTTGTATCTTGTTTCTGGTCCTTTTGAAACTGACTGATATTGCAGAAAATGGAGATCCTTCCGGTCAATGATTTGGATGCTGCATTACACAATTTTGTTAACAAGGACGACAAAATGGCATTCCTTTCTTGTGTGCAATACAACCTTGAAGAAACTCGTGTAAGTATATCTTCTTGTGTTCTCAAATTACTGTTAGAAAATTGCTGTTATTTGAATGATTTAAGATGTACCACCTTTATGCAGCTCTTATTTTTTTTATGGACAAATTGTATCTATGTTGTCTCTTTTGTTGGGTTTAGTGTATCCTTGATCAATTTCTGTGTGCTAATAACAAGATAACTTGCTTACTTAACAGAGTAAAATTGCTCGGGATTCAGATATTTTGAAGTTTGAAGAGGAAGAGATAATTCTCAAAGTTGGAGATTGCTTAGAGGCAAGAAGCTGAAAACTCTTTTGTTTTGATTACTATCCTTAAGGGTAGTAAATGCATGATGTGGTGAAAACTACTGATTTGGTGGCTACGCTCAACTTTGTGACAATGGATACAATATTTGCAGGATCGTGTCAAGGAAAGGTCTGTGCGCTCTAAAGACGACCCACAATTCGCATCCAATGCCCAGTCCTTGGAGGTGATTCTTCTAACTTAGCCTGGTGTGCAGAAATTACCCTTGTGATCTCTGTGCCTGAAAATTTTTCTGTGTCAGTTGCATTTGGTTGTACAATATCCTGTATCTGTATTCAAGGTTCCTGTTGAAATTTTACTTAGGATATTCAAGGTAAAAGTACTGGAGGAGTTGGAAGTGCTGTTTCCTTTAGTGATGATGAAGATGCGACTCGATTCACTGGTTCAAAGCCTACCAGAGGCAGGAAAGAGTCCTCACAACCTTTTAGGTCTTCTCGTGATGCTTCTGAAGTTGGTAAGACTTCTTTGAGAGGAAAGGGTAGAGGCAGGGGCAGAGGCAGAGGCAGGGGATCTAATAATTTGAAGCAGACCACCCTTGATGCAGCTATGGGATTTCGCCAGTCACAAAGGTGTGGCCTAATACCTAATACTCCTGGTGCTATTCATTGAGTAAAATTTATCTGGTTTTGTTGAGAGGATGAGGGATAGGGAGGAATGTCCAAGGATTTGGCAGCCTGCGTGGCTTGGGAATCAGCCTGGGCTGAGGTAAACATATCACGGGTAGCCCCGCGTGGCTTGGGAATCAGCTTCTCCAAAATTGGGTTAAGACCGCCTATTACTTACCTCACCTAGACTTCACTAGGCGGGAGCATTGTGCATTGAGTATGACCTTTTCTTAAATTTCAAGTATGTAAATTTATCAATCTATACGTTCTAGCTATTATTAGCCAACCCCAAATGATTGAGACATAGGCTTAGTTTTGGGTTTACGTTATAGCTATTATAGCCACAACTCAAATCATTTGTGTTGAATGGAAAATACCGTTCAATTATTTTTTCAGTTGGTTTAGGGACTTCCAAATTTATCAAAATATAGTGTATTAATTATTATATAGCAGATTGGCCCCAATCTGGGTCTGGGCTATAAGATATGCCCAATGGCTTGGCTAGGCACATCTTGCTGTTGGGTTGGGCCGAGTATGGGGCTCAATAAATTAGTATAACCTGGTGTTCTAAATGCTGCCCTGCCCATGGTCACTCCTAAAAGGGAAAGAGAATACATAAGCCTGTGTTGGATTCAATGAACTAACTATCAGTGAATAAGATAATCACTAACCAAAACATATGGATATATCATACTTCTCAATATTGGTTTTGCAAATGTCACAAAATTTTATGGAATAAGATATTGTGAAAATGTTACTCACATGGATTTGCTAAGATCTTAAATTGCTTTTATATCAACAGATTCTTGCAAACATCTCCGAACATTTATTATACTGCTCTCTTACTATATACATTAAAGCATTTTTCCACGGCAAGCTTTGCCTATTTTCTAGATGCGTCCTATTGATGTGGTAGCCATTGCTTGTACAAGGTGTGCTTTTGTTAGAGAGACAAAACCATGGCTTTTGAAGTCTTTCCCATCGAGCAACCCTTTCAGTCCTGTGGTCTGAGTTCTTAGTTGCTTAGTTGCTTAGTTTGTCTTGTTTCATGGATTGCTAGCTATTATTTTCTTATTATCTTTTCTTCTGGAAATTAGCTATTGTTCAGTGATTAGTTTATTTTCATTGTGGTTCTGAAATTCTGTGATTTCTAGACTTGTTTGAGATTAGTTGATACTTATTTCTCAAGTTCTTAATTAGAGTTCAAGTAGGAATGCATTCTAAGGTTTTTAGCCAACATATTGGGCGTATTTGGGAACTTTGCACTTGGAAGAATTTGAGTCACAGTTGTTCATCAGATTGGTAGATCTTGTTCTATCTTATTTTGGTTGAAAATTTTCTGACTGGTGGTGAATATGGAGGATTTAATGGATCGAAATTTGAGTTGCCCAAATCACCTTGGATTCAACCCCAAAGTCAACTTTTCGTGCTGGATGTTTTGATTTCTGAGATGTTTGGTCATCTCATGAATCTAACAACGAATCACGTAATTAACTACTTATCTTGCAAAGATACTAATGCTTGATCCAAGCTTGATATTTTACATTTTTTGAATTCTTTTGGCCTAAACACAGCCTCATGGATGCCTTTATTGCTGCAGATCTGCATCTGTTGCTGCCACAGCTTCAGTTCGAAGTATCGCTGAGGATGAGGATAATGTGGATTCTGCCTCAAGTGATGAAGCAGGGCAGCATGGACTAGATGAGGTTGATGATAGTTCGGTATGAATCTTCTTAATTATTTTGTTGCATGCACCAAGTTACATTTATTCTCTTCATGATCTATGAGTAATATACAATACAGACATGTATATGGCAACCAAATGATATACAGAAAACAAAGGTTGACGAAGAAAAGGGGAATAGAAATGAGAAAAAGTCCTTCCTACGTAACAAGGACACCAATTCACCTGATATTTGATGCTCAGTTGCTCATTTTAAAGTTATTTTGCTTTATATTAACCATGTTAACACTGTGAACGTCGTTGGAAACTTTCGCAACACGTGACATTCACTAATTGGATTTAGTTTTTCCCTTTCAAGGACAATGATGAAACCATCCGAGGCAAAGGACGCAAAAGAGCTGCTCCAAGGGGAAGGGGTAGAGGTTCCACATCATCCGCTAAAAGGGGGAGGAAATCAGATAATTCTTCTCCTTCGATCCATAAAATGAATATGAGTAGAGATGATGAGGACGATGATGATGACACGGGAAAGAGAATGCATAAGCCTCAACCTCGGGTAACTTATTTTAAAACAATCTATTCCCATGTTAAGTTTTCTTGAAAGCGAAATCTACTTGTGTTCTAATTATTCCCATTTACTGCTTATACTCTTCCTTTTTTTGTTTGATCTTATGGCTTACAAGGGATATTGATTTTCTTCCAACTTGTCAATAATGGTTAAATGATACTAAGATGGAACTTTGGTTCACCAAAAACATAACTGTTATAAATTCTGGTATGATTGCAAATATTATCGTTTTATATTCACATGGTTATGACTGTATTCTAACTGGACTTGCCTGCTTTGGTGGACCAAATCTGATTAGCATCAGTTTTATGGGGAGCATTCTACAAACCATGGCCTACTATCCCTTGAATTCTGGAAAATTACCAGTTGTAGGCTGATTGATCTTTCTGAAAGGGAAACCATTACCTGCCGTGATCTGTGCATTTTCCATGGCACTTGTAAAGTAGGAAACCTAACACCATACCTTGTTACCACCAGCCATTTCACTTGAATCTGTAGTTAGCAGTTTTTTCACAAATAGGAAGATCATTTTCTGTTCTTTATCTTTGAAGGCGTCAACAATCTTATTTCCGGAAGTTTCTGTTTGGAGCTTCTTATAGTTGGTTGGGATCAGTTCTAGTTATGCTAGATATTTGCTAAAACTGACAACCACTCTGCTCATAGGTAACGAGGAATTACGGTGCTCTAAGGAGGTGACTCCACTAAGGTTCAGGTCCTTCTGCACAGCAGCAGTGCGGCTACATGTGAATGATTCACTCCATTTAGGGACTATCTTGATGCGTGGTATTAGAGTCTACGGTCCTGCACAGAAGCTGAGTGGCTACATGTTAACGGTTCGCTCATTTAGGAGCTATCTTGATGTGTGATTTTATAGTCTAGTCTAATGATTTGTATATTTTAGGCAGCTTATCTGCTTGCATGAATCTTGTGCATAACGGTGGTCTGCCTTATAAATTTCTTTTGCATGTTAAGACTATATGTGTGGTTGTGCAAGTATGCACATTTTTGTGCTCCTTATCACCCAACCTCAATGTTTAATTTATCGGTGACAACATTACAAAAGAGTGAGATGGTAGAGTTAGTTCTGGTCATTGTGGGAACTTCTTTTGTAAACTGTGGGGGCTTACCAGTTACCACTAGATATAAGAGCTCTAATGTTCCTTTAATACATATTTTTGACTGAGCTTATACAAAATTCGGAGAAGAATATATCATGTTTCGTGGTGTTTTTCTTTGATTTTCTACTTGTGTATCTTGAATGATGGAACGGTTGCAACGAGAGAAGTTCCATGGGGGACAAGAAGTAAATGCCATTTCATTGATGGATGAGTATACAGTGAATGTTCCCATTTGTGGCCCATGGCTCACTGGCATTGCAGAACAGGTGATATGAAGCAAACCCTAAAAGTGAGCCTAGAGCATTTCCAACAGAACACGTAAAACTGTAAAATACCTAAAATTTAACTATTTAAAAGCAAAAAACATGCTCCAATAGAATAGGAGCATGTTTTTTCGCTAAAGTGATGTTCTATATTTAAAGTATCACTTTACCATTATGTATATATAATTTATAATATATTCTTTCTTCTGCTGTCATTTTGTACCTTTCTTGTCCACTCTGTCTTTTTCTCTATTTTTTTTCTCTCCCTTTAATAGTTTTAACAAAATTACAAGATATGAGAAATAATATTTAAAAGTAATAGTTAAAAATAAAAAATCTGTTGGAGTATGTATGTATTGAAAAAGTGAATAGTTAAAATTAAAAAAATGCATTTTTGGATGGCTAAAGTATAAAACCTTGTTGAAGATACTCTTTGGGATAATAGTTTCTCGGTTCAGTTTGGGCACACAGAGATGATAAAAGGTAATACAATTTTTCGCAAAGAAAACAAAAATAAAGTCAACACTAATAAACCTTTTTTCCTTGGTGGAGTAATAATCCCCAGTTTCATAGTATGCTCAAAACTAATTCACTCTTGAACATGTTTTGTTGCAATAATGCTCTAGCTTACAAGGAAACCTACAAGAGCACCCACGAACATGAGATGATGAACCTGTTCCTTGTCCCATCACAGCAGCAACGCTTTAAATCTCTTCAATATACAATATACACTAAACACCCCCCCCCCCCCCCCCC